ACAATATATATATATATATATATATATATATATATATATATATATATATATATATATATATATATACTCCTTGTCAAAATCTTAAGACCAGATACAAAAGGGTAAAAATAATATAAAATACTGTTACTTTAATTGAAATATATTCACGAAACATTTACATTTAATTAGAAAATGTAGTTTATCAACAAACAAGTGAAATTTTTAAGCTTTTAATTGATTAATTTAAACAAACATTGAAAAAGTGTTTTTTGGTTGGTCATAAAGATAAGACCATGTGCGAAAAAAAATTACTGGAAAAAATTTTTAGAACTAGTCAGTGTACTCATAGCTTCAGGTGGGTAGACATATATTTAGCCCATTTCCAGAATTAAAATTCAGATTTTAAAATGGCTAAAGGTAAAATTTTAACAAAGTTCGAACAGGGCAGAATTGTTGAATTTCAAAGACCTTGTCTTTCGCAACGAGCCATTGCAAATGAAACTGTCATTGCTAACTTCATTAAAAATCCAGATGCGTATGCTTCTAAAAAATCAAGCAGTCGATCCAATAAAATATCACAATCTCTAGACAGAAGCATTAGGCGAGAGTTTCAAGCCTAACATCAAATCAGATAAAAGCGAATAAGGATGACGAATGCAGCTCTCAAACAATTCGACGGCATTTATTAAGAAATGTTTTAATAACGTGAAACGGATGCAGAAGCCTCGCCTTCTTCGCCATAAAATCTCCTGTTTACAATTTGTTTCCGATTATCAAACTTGGGATGTGAATAAATGGAAGGAAGTGTTGTTTGCAGATGAGAAATAATTCAAGCTTGATAGTCCATACCGTTTTCAGCGTTACTCGCATGCAAAAGATGTCCCAAAAGAAACTTTCTCAACACAGTGGAGGTGGATCAATTATTGTCTGGGGTTCATTATCGTACAAAGGAACTCTTGAGTAAAAGGTCGTCAAACAGCTGCTGGTTACATTGACATGTTAAGAAAGGCGTCGCTAATAACTGAAGGCCCTCAAAGTGGTTTTCTAAGCGTAGTTTTGATGTGGGACAAGCTCGAATGTATGGGGCACCCAATGAGGATAAAATTAATATATAGCCTTATTTAGCTGTAATGTAGTGATTATCTGCGCGAAAAGTAAAAACGGTGTGCCAAGTTCAAATTGCAGCTAAGGTGGTTGCATTCACTTTTGCACAAATACCGTTGAGAAATCCATTTTTCTTCCTACAGCTATGGGTTAAATAGCAGAGAGGACGGAGCTCTCTCGCCTCAGTCAGGAAGAGGGATCACTCTAAATTCAAAACTGGTTGGGTGTTGGCCTTGCAACTCTACCCGGTAAAAAACCTCTTGCGGCAGAAGCACCATTAGTATCTACTGGCATGGTGAGGCTTACTTCCCTAGTTTCCACACTGAATTCTAATAGCCCTAAAGCCAGAAAGAATTTTACATAATATTGTCTTATGAGTGTCTATATAATGATAATTACACATCGAATATAGATATGAAACAAGATATGAACAACCTCATATGGATAGATTGGTTCAGAATAGGATAAATAGTGTCCTAATGTGTATTTTATACATATATAAATGCATTGATTACTGAGTTCAGCAATCTTCCAACAAAATTTGTTTCCGAAATCTTCATTACTACCTGGACTTGAACACTAAATGCAGACAGCGAAATAGACAGCTCCCTAGATAGATAGATAGATAGATAGATAGATAGATAGATAGATAGATAGATAGATAGATAGATAGGAAGAGACTGAGATAGATAGATAGATAGATAGATAGATAGATAGATAGATAGATAGATAGATAGATAGATATGTCATTGAATAATGATGAGTTCCACGCGTCTAGAAAAATCTACTTAATGGGAAAATGGCTCATCTCTATGTAGTGAACTCGTGATAAACGAAGAAAACTCTTACGAACATACACGAGATAGATAGATAGATAGATAGATAGATAGATAGATAGATAGATAGATAGTGAGAAAAGAGGAGAAATGGGAACTATGGATTTTACAAGTATATGAAATATTAGATTCCTTATTACTAACACAATATGTGTGCATATCTTGAACTGTGAACTCGAATGCAGTTTAATCGAGTGCAGCAAGTACCGTATATTCTGGTGTACAAGGCGACTGGGCGTATAAGACGACCACCAAATTTTCAAGTTACAATGTAGGTCTCGGGCTATATTCGCAGTACAATATGAACCCTACTACCACAACCAGTCGAATTTTAAAATTTATTGAATTTATTAAATAAATTCAGTAAGCATATGCTTTCTTTTCACACAAATTCTAATGAAAAAACAGTGGGGAGATATTGTCAATTACCTACCATAATCTACAATACGATATGAGTGGTTGCTGTGTTTTTGGTAGGCTATTACGGTACGGTAATGACTTTTCCCAGTTAACCATCCAGTGTTCTCGAACACGATCGTTAAACGGCTTCTTAAGACACACATATCATATGCTAACAATTTACCATAAAGCACAGAATTTAAGGTTCATATTTTATACCTGGAGTATACGACAGACCCCTATTTTAGGGTGCATTTTTTATGATTAAAAGGTCACCTTGTATGCTGACATATATGGTATATCTATTTTTATTAGATACTTTCCATTCACATCATTTGGTTTCATTTCGATTGTTCTTTCTTTAGTGAAATTATCCTTATTATGTGTTCTTAGATTCTAGTATTTCTCCATCTTTTGAGGACATTACAATTGAACATTACTTGTTTGTTTTTTTGTTTTTATATTTATATTCATTTTGAAACCTATATTGATATTTATTTTAGATCATTTAGCCTTTCTTGTAATTCATTCAATGATTGACATTAGTAAACTCTCATCAGTAGATGGTTGAAATATTTTCTGTTTATATTTCTCCCATCCCTTTCCAGTTAATTTACTAGAAGATACTTTCAAGGCCGGCTTTAAATAGCGTAGGTGAAATCCTATCCCCTTGCCTCACTTCTTTTCTAAAATTCATCTTATCTGCATCTTTGTGGGGTAAAATTATTGCAGTATTATTGTCACATATAGTCTCAATAACTTATACAGTTTCTATTAATAGAATGTTGTGTGTTCTACCAGAGTCAAATATCTTTTCATACTCAAAGTTAAACAAAGCGGGTCATTTTATTTATTTATTTTTATTATTCTCTAACAACTTAACATAAAACACAAGATTCACAAGTTTCACATTTTATGCCTGTAGTAAAAGATGGCACCCTACCTGGTGGGGTTTTTAAGGTTAAAAGGTCGCCTTGTACGCAGACATATACGGTAGATATGAAAGTAGACGGAACATCGGAAGAATGATAGGTAATTCGCTTATTATTTAAGAAATGTTTCATATCCTTGGCTGCTGAGCGAATTGATCTTTTTTCTTTTCCTTTTTTTTTTTTTGTATCATTAACATCCGTTCGATTGGACCCCTTTGAATATGTTTGTATATCTGTTGCTGTTCGTGCTTGTACTTCTTTTAAATCAACTCGTCCTCTCTATATACGAAGATTCATCAGTACGCCTGCAGCTTAAAAGGAGAAAAAACATTTATTTTATACATAATGATTCCCAATCGTATATACAGCTTGTCCCCTAGACTGAATAACTCTGGCTACCATTTTAATTGATCCTCAGTCGTGTATTCGGGGTGTCCTCTCAAATAAATACGCACTTTTTTTAAATAGTAGTTTTAACAACACGAAATTAAGTGAAGGCTTTCAGGATACAAAATAAACCTTTTGATAAACATCGAACGTTGTATCTCTTTTTAAGCATACGTACTACTGTTTAAGAGGGGGGATATGCTTGTAGCTGTGCTAGGTGGTATCAGAGAGTTCCTGGATTTATTTCATTTTTTATAATGATATTCATCTTGTCCAAGACCCAAGAGCCACTCGAAGTAGACAGTTACAGAGTAAGAGGTTCAGTTTATGCGGATAAGCGGGGAAGATAACAGTTGACACTAGACTTGAACGGGTTAAGTTTGTAGTGATCGAGGACACATCCTCTTGAGACTCGGTTCCACAGTAGTTCGTGGGAAGAGGCTGCTCGAGTGGAACTTAATTTTTTTTTAGTTCAGTCGATAAAGAATTCGAATAATTTAGAATGTTAATATTGCTTGTACTTGCTTTTTTAGTGTTATGGATTTTGCATGCTTTTCTTCTTGCATTGCGCATGAAATGACGGGATTAATGAAGGAAATTAAAGTTTTCTTTCTCGGTAAAATTTTCTTCTTCAACTATGCTATAGCATACCTACGGACGATAATGGGTATGTCACCATTCACATAAATGCAGTAGTAAATCCTGTATCCTGGTCTGCAGAAGATTCGCCTCTAGCTGCACTGGTCAAACTCTCTGCCTCTGGACAAAGAGGATCCCCAGACGAGGCTTTGTCGAAGGGCAGAGTCTCGTCTCGAGAAACAGCTACCTGATCCCGTTTTATACGTTGTCTACGGGGAATTTTCGGCCGACCGTTCGGGCTTGGATACCCAACATTAAATTCGACCTTGTGCCATATCTGACCGCGTGGGGCGGTTGGTAGATATCGTGCAGTTGGAGATCCATTGTGGAATTCACTTGACTCACTTTATAGCAGTTGACTACTTCTTCTACATGCCATTGGAGAAACTTATATGTGTTGTTCTTGTCCTAAGTATTATCGTTCATTACCAACCTTCGTGTGATTATTCTATTCAGTAACCTTCCTAGGTTACAAAAATCTACGTTTAACAGAAAGAATGAGATTATATAAAAGAGCAGGAGCATTCATTTTTTATAATAATTTTCACCCTATACAAGGCCTAAGTGCCACTCGAAGTAAACAGTGAGTAAGAGGTTAGAGACACAGTTTATGAGGATGTGCAAGGAAGATAACGGTTAACCCCAGACTTGAATAGGTTAAAACTGCAGGCATCGGGGAAGCATCATCTTGGGAGTCGATTCCACAAAGTAGTGACTAGATCTA